ACCACGTATCTATTTTTCCTGGATGACGCAATCAGATTAAGTGTTACAGGCAATCACATAAACTTGGTACCGAAAGACAAGGCATGTTTCGATACTCTGTAGAACCGAAGCATTTCGGTCGGTACCTTAAAAGAACCGATGTTCGGTACCCAGCCCTACCCCTAGGAGGCACCCACCCCCCTTTGGTAACTACTGACCTAGACTATGCATCTAGATTAGTTCAGATTGAAGGACACTTTAAGCTGTCAGTAAACATTTTTTGCATTAAACTCATATTACCAAATTAGAAATTGTTTTGATCCATTAAATATATTTCTTTATCAGAAAAAAAGCTTTATTGGGTGATTTAGTAATATAATCATAAATCTTTGAAGTTTATCTACTATAAGTAGAAAATTATCCTAATTAAAAGAAATAAAGGTTTAAAAATATCAGGCTTTAAATTTCAGATCTAAAATGATGAGAATCAGAACCTCAGCTTATCAGACCCCTTCCTCAGTGCATCCTAGAGTAGAAATAAAAACCTTAATAATTAACACACATAGGAAGCCCAGAGCAGAAATGGACATTAGCAAACTTTATGCCAAACTATTCAGATTCTTTTTTATTTCTACAAATCTAAGAAAGGGGATCCTATACAGAACTTTTAATTGTTTAGAAGAAACCATCCAGCGTTAAATGTTTTGAAGATCTAGAAAATGATGAATTCATCTGTAAACAAGCTGTATTATTTCTGGTGACAGATAAGATTCAATTATTTACATTCACTTGAAGATCAAAACAAGGAGTGCAGAATCACATTGAAATAATATATTGAATCACAATGACAGCACTTATAATAAACTCAGCCAAGTTCTAAACATTTTACAGCCCAAAAATGTAAAGGATCTGATTTTTAGTTAAATGCAAACATTAAAGTGTTTTAGGAAACAAAACTAAAAATAAAAAAATTTGTTATGTTTAGGGTTTTATTAATATTACAAGTAATACATTGCCTTTCAAAATAATTTTAAAAGCTAAAGTTGTTTATTGGTGTATTAAGGAGACCATACTTGTTCTTCGAGTCCTTCTCTGACAGAAGGGGCCAGGCACCACCTTGTTTTGCAAGAATTTGATACCAAATTCACCAAAAACGATCCTCTGAAACCAGTAACTTTTAAAATCACTCATTTTTTAATACCTTTGACCTTCCATTAAAGTCAAAAATATATGCCACCTTAAAACCCTGTTTAATGCATTCTCCTAAGGTATCAATGGAGACCAATATGTTTACCACTGCATGTTTTAAAAAAGAACTTCCTTTTCAAGTTCAAATATATTAAAAAAAAAAACGTTTTATCCTAAAACATTTGTTTTGTATTTTTTCAACCATTTCCACATTAAATTCATCAAAGATTATTCTCACAAACCAAAAGATGTTTTTGTTTTACATCATTACATCTCTGTTTTCATTCCTCCCATTTCCAACCAATAAAAAATAAATTTAAAGCAAAAAAAAAAAAAAATAGTTATAAACCTAACATTTCCTAAACACATTAACTAAACTAAACAACTTGAGAATCTTTATCTTTTATTTCCCAGTTGTTTATCAGGATAAATTCAGTCAACTTCCAAAACACTCAAAATTATATATATTTTTATCAAATACAAAACAATAAACAGTTCAGCTTGATAATATATTATGTTAAATGTCCTTCTTAGTGTGTGTTTTAATATTTATATTTATTTTATATTTATTTAATGTAATTTCACCAACATTTCCGTATAGAGCAAACTTATTGTAGAAAGTATAATATTTCACTTTGAAATCTAGTGGAGTGAGTTATATGTCCCCCCCTAAAAAAATACTCAAGTAAATATATTCAAAAACGTACTTAAGTATAGCAAGCAAGTAAATGTACTTTGTTACTTTCCACCACTGGATATAGCATGATCTGGATTAATTCAGTAATTCATTAGCATCTCTGCATATAAAGCATTAGAGCTGAAGCTCTGCTTTGTCTGCAGTGATGTAGGCTGGAAGACCCGTTCTTCGTGTATGGGGTGCTGCAGCATCATATATTGATGGTCTTTTCTCTGACTAAGTCACATGTGGACTTGCTCTTGAAGACTGAGTGTCTGGATTTTATTTGAAGTCTAAAGCTTTAGAAATATATTCGTTTTTTTATGTAAAATGTGATCATTTAAATAACTTAACTCAATGCTAATTTGTAGAACAGCTAATGCTGTCACTCGCTGTTCATTCTAAATGTTCTTCCAACGTGACTTTAGATGCTTAAATCAATTTGATGAAACAATATCCTAAATTAACATTTAAATATATTTAATTGTTTTATAACATATTCATACTTTATACCCATGTGGAAAAAAACACATTTTTGTCATGAAACAGGGCAGATGGAGCCAGTATTCAAGGAGAGACAGTCAGTAGGAAAGTTAAAAACTTTTACTGAAATAAAGACAAACAGAAACTAAAGTGCAGCTGTTGGATCTGTGGCACGAGGCGACTGCAGGCGGGGGGGCAGGGCACCGCCCAATCTCAGACACTCTGTTTGCTGGAGAAACACAGGTACGTGACCATGATTATCTGCCAGAAGATGATTATCAGAGTTGGTCACTTACCTAGTTTAACGGTCCAGTCCATCTCCCTAGAATGGGGTGCAATCCAGCCACTGGACTGTAGACTGACGTGGCGTGCGTCACTCAGAGTGTCCCCGATGCTGCAGCCCCGGAGGACCCAAAGGAAGCCGATCCTGGACAGGGTTACAGATCAGGCAGGAACAGACAGGTGACAGAATCCAGATCAGGAACAGACAGGTGACAGGATTCAGATCAGGAACAGACAGGAGAGAGGATTCAGATCAGGAACAGACAGGTGAGAGGATCCAGATCAGGCAGGGACAGACAGGTGACAGGATCCAGATCAGGTAGGAACAGACAGGTGACAGGATCCAGATCAGGAACAGACAGGTGACAG